CAAGCAGCAGCAGCAGCAGCAGCAGCAGCAGCAGCAGCAGCAGCAGCAGCAGCAGCAGCAGCAGCAGCACAGCAGCAGCAGCAGCAGCAGCAGCAGCAGCAGCAGCAGCAGCAGCAGCAGCAGCAGCAGCAGCACAGCAGCAGCACAGCAGCAGCAGCAGCAGCAGCAGCAGCAGCAGCAGCAGCAGCAGCAGCAGCAGCAGCAGCAGCAGCAGCAGCAGCAGCAGCAGCAGCAGCAGCAGCAGCAGCAGCAGCAGCAGCAGCAGCAGCAAGCAGCAGCAGCAGCAGCAGCAGCAGCAGCAGGCAGCAGCAGCAGCAGCAGCAGCAGCAGCAGCAGCAGCAGCAGCAGCAGCAGCAGCAGCAGCAGCAGCAGCAGCAGCTAGCAGCAGCAGCAGCAGCAAGCAGCAGCAGCAGCAGCAGCAGCAGCACAGCAGCAGCAGCAGCAGCAGCAGCACAGCAGCAGCAGCGCAGCGCAGAGTGGGGAATAAGGAGGACGAGCCAGTCAAATACAAAGGAAGGGGAGCACTGCAAGAGAGCTAGGTGCCCACAGAGGGAGAGCAAGCGCACAGAGGTGCGTGAAAGAGGAAGTGGTGAAGTAAATGAAGAAGGAACAGAAACACGAGACAGAAGAGAGAAAGACAACCCAGAGGAGAAAAAGGAAAGAGGAAAGGGGAAGAGGGAGAAGAAGAAAAAGAAAAAGAAAAAATGAGGATTCAGGTTAAGTCATGGGTGTTCTGAAGTTTGGAGCATTTTACAATGTAGTGGGAGGGGAAGGCATCTACAGAGACAAAGCCAGGGCTAAGATTCATACAAGGAAAGTGTCACTATGGGCTCTCCTCTCTTTCCTGTCCTTGCTAATCTTTACATGGAATACTTCGAGACTGTTCTTCTTCCTACCCTCGATGTGCAACCTTCACTCTGGCTCCGCTATGTGGATGACATCTTTGCTCTGTGGCCTCATGACTCCAGTCTCTTCCAACCTTTTCTTGAAGCTCTTAATAATCTTGCCCCTTTCATTAAGTTTAAAGCTGAATGGGAATCTAATTCCTTGCTTCCTTTCCTTGATGTCCATGTCCACCGCTCAGATACAGGTTTTTCCTTTTCCGTTTACCGAAAACCTATGCACAGTGGCATGTACATTCACTACTTTTCCTATCATGCTTCCCCTGTCAAGAAAATTTGTTCTATCTCCCTCTTTCTCCGTACCCTCCGCATCTGTGATCCTCATTTCCCTTTCCCAAGCGGGGAATTTCCGCTTTTCATAATACGTTTTCCCGTCTTGGCTACCCTTCCCATTTCACAACTCTGCCTCTCACGTGCTAAACATAAATTTCTTCTCTCCCCAAACTCTCTACTCCGGGGAACTCTTCTATCCTCTGCCTTCCCTATATTTCCGGTCTTTCAAATCTCAACAATTCTCTCAGTCCCTTAGACATCAAGCTTACCTTCCGCCAGACTAACACTCTTCGCACTAATCTCGTTCATACCTCTCCTCCCTCTACAGATTTCCTGGTTTCTACTCTATTTCTTGCTCCTCCTGTCCTCTTCAATACTTCGGAGAAACTGGTCCATCTCTTTCTGACAGATTTAAAGGGAGCACAAAAAATGTTTGGCTTGCCGACACTAAAAAATGCTCTTTTCTTTCACGTCAGAGATCAAAAGCCATCCTATTGACTGGTCTTCTGCTAAAACTGTCTTCCCTATTTCCCAACTCGAACAGTTGCCGTCTAGTTGAATCCTCTCTAATACACAACTTTCCTTGTATGAATCTTAGCCCTGGCTTCTTCTCTGTAGATGCCTTCCTCTCCCACTACATTGTAAAATGCTCCCAAACTTCAGAACACCCGTGACTTAACCTGACTCCTCATTTTTTCTTTTTCTTTTTTTTCTTCTCCCCTCTTCCCTTTCCTCTTTCTCCTCTGGGGTTTTCTTTCTCTCTTCTGTCTCGTGTTTCTGTTCCTCTTCATTTATTTCACCACTTCTCCTTTCATGCACCTCTGTGCATTTGCTCTCCCTCTGTGGGCACCTAGCTCTCTTGCAGTACTCCCCTTTCTTTGTATTTGAATGGCTCGTCCTCTCTATTCCCCACTTCTACCACTACCACTACCTCTTCTACTACTACTACTACTACTACTACTACTACTACTACTACTACTACTGATGAAATTAAGACACATGTGCGGCGTCTGGGTGTCTTTGTTGTGGATGTTTCGCCATCCAGTGGCTGGCTGGATGGCGAAACGTCTACGATAGGGATGCCCAGGTGTTGCGCATGTGTCTTAATTTCATCTTGTCGGTATTATATACCATTCTTGTACTACTACTACTACCACCACCTCTTCCTGCCTATATATAGCTGTCCTGCTCCTCTTCTAGTTAGTGTGACTTTGTAAATGGTCCAAGTCGGACCGAAACGTCGTCGTAAGCTTCTCTCTTTTATGTGGGGTTATTTGTGTAACGTATTTATATGGTTGCTTTTTAATGATTTTTGTAATAATAAAGGAGAGGTCCAGTTTATTTTTGCAGGTACTGTAGTTGGGAAGGCTCCCAAGTGGAACTGAAATTTAGTGGTTCACTTGATGGTTGTATCTGGTGATGGGTAAAGTTAAGCCCATCAAGAATCACGCATGCTAGAGTGCTGGAAAATTACAGTGAGTTACATTATTATTATAATCAAAAGGAAGTGCCAAACCTACCAGGGTCATACAGCACAGTGAATTACAATATTGGTTTCTCAGCTACAGAAGCTTATATTTTCTTACCCCTTTGTATATTTGGAGTGACCAAGTTCCCAGAGCCAAACCATTTCCAACATGTCCTATACTGTCCACATTTTACATTTTGCATAACTATGGACCTTGCAGTGTAAGAGATAAACATTGTAAATCTACCTTTGTAACAAAAATACATCTTAAAGGAAAATACATCATAATAATTACTTTTTCTCCTTCCTACCTAGTAAGTCATCACCCACCAAGGTAGGGTGGTATATAAAAAATAAACACATTCACTCAATTGGTATTATGCCAGAAGTGTGCTGACATAACTATTCAGATGACCCTCCAAACTGCCCATCCCCACCTTTGCGACTCAAATTTGGCTAACTAGCTTTCCTAAATCCCTTTGAATTCATCAGCCATTTTCCACCAAGAAAGGATGATCTAAAGTAGAAAACTAAATTACATATCGTAGTTTCTCTAGCTGCATTTCTAATGTTGGTGTGTCAAGCCCTACTTTCAAACTGCAAGCACTGGAACTGTAAACCTTGAAAATTAATGTCTGACTGGCTGTTTTTTTCAGAATCTCTTGATATCTAATTTCACTTTCAATTTTTAGCTTTAATTTTTTTTAAATTCTTCTACCATTATTTACACAAGGCTAAAACTACTCTTCCCAAAAATAGCGCCAAGAGAAAAAAAAAGCAGCCGTAATAACTGGTACTGCAAATTAGATATGTTACCATTTAGGATCACATCTCTGACAAATATATAACAATGACTTCTTTTGCAAACTCCATTTATAAACGCCTTAAATCACCATGGTAACATTATACATAATTATTTGTTAGTTTTGCTTCTAACCATTCACCTTTCTTGTACACCAAAACCTGTACTCAACTGTGGTTGCAGGGGTCGAGTCATAGCTCCTGGCACCACCTTTTCACTGGTCACTACTAGGTCTACTCTCTCCCTGCTCCATGAACTTTGTCACACCTCTTCTTAAAGCTATGTATGGATCCTGCCTCCACTACATCACTCTACAGATTGTTCCAATTTCTGACAGCTCTATGGTTGAAGAAATACTTCCTAACATCCCTGTGACTCATCTGAGTTTTCAACTTCCAGTTGTGACCCCTTGTTGTGTCATATCTCTGAAACATTCTGTCCCTATCCACCCTGTCAATTCCTCTCAGTTTTTTATATGTTGTTATCATGACCCCCCTATCCCTCTTGTCTTCCAGCGTTGTCAGGTTGAGTTTCCTTAACCTCTCCTCAAAGGACAAACCCCTTAGTTCCGGGACTAGTCTTATCACAAACCTTTGCAATCTCTTAATTTCTTTATGTGCTTGACCAGGTGTGGGTTCCACATTGATGCTGCACACTCCAATATGGGCCTGAGGTACATAGTGTACAGTGTCGCGAATGACTCCTTACTTAGCTTAGATGTCGAAATGCTATTTTCAGGTTTGTGCCTCACATCTGTCAAAAGCTCTTCCTAGCAACCAAATGACAATTACTGAAAGATGTAGTGTTTTTTCTGTCTTGCCAGAAGTGTACTGACATTACAGTTCAGATGGCACTCCAAACCTTAACATCCCACCCCTCCTTCAGAGTGCGTGTACTGTATAGTTTCCATTTCCATGACTTGAGTCTGGCTAACAGGTTTCCCCAAGTCCCTTCACAAATGTTACCTTGCTCACACTCCACAGCTATATCAAATCATAAAAACCACTTGCCACCCCTCACTCCTATCTAACATGCTCACACAAGCCTGCTGGATGTTCAAGCCCCTAGCACCCAAAACCTCTTTTACCCCCTCCCTCCAACCTTTCATAGGATGACCCCTACCTCTCCTTCCCTCCACCCCAGATATAATTATACACCCTTCTAGTCATCCTATTTTTCTCTAAATGTCCAAACCATCTCAACCTCCCCCCTTAGCTCTCTGAATAATACTTTAAGTAACTCTAAACCTTCTCCTAATCTCCAAACTCCAAATTCTCTCCAAAATATTCACATCACACATCTACTGCCTCCCAGCCTCCTCCTCACTGCAACATTCAAAACCCATGCTTCACACCCATACAACAATGTTGGTACTACTACACTCTTTTGCAGTCATGGATAAAGTTCATCTCCACAGATGCCTCAATGTACCACTCACCTTTCTCCTTTCGCCAATTCCACAGCTCACCACTTCTCTCATAGAATCCTTCTTTTATATTCCCTCCCAAATTCATTAAACATATTCCAGAGTACAAAGCTTGTAATTTTAAATTACCTGATCTTCAATAGTCTTATGATGTGTGTGGTGTAACCAGGTGCCAAGTATAACAGAGTCATCAGCATGACACATTGTGCGAAGGAGGGATGTGGTGGTGTTAGCACCACTCTCTGCTAGGGTGAACTCGCTCACCAACAGCTTCAAGATGCTTGTGTAGTGACCTGATGTTTTAATTATACTGGTTAGTTGTAGGATATGATTACAATATCAAATGTCAAAATGAAATGAATCACTTGTAGCACTAGCAATAAAGAGGCTTTTAATAATCATAAGAACACTTGGGAGCTACAGCAGAATTATTCAATGTTCATCCACAGCTGTATGCACTCTTACCTGAAGACTTCCAGTTCTCAAAAAAAAAATTAAATTGTGCTATATCTGCATTAGTTTACTTGAGCTGAAACGTGCTATCTTATTATTACATACTACTAAAAACATAAATAAAAGAATACCGTAACAGTGAATTGACAATTTGCTGACTGCAAGTGCGTTCATATCTACAGTATCTAGTAATGTTCATCGAATTTTTTATAATACACCTACCATCCGACTTACGACCTGCTCGACTTACGACCACTCGACTTACAACCGTGTTTTTTTTTTTGCCAAATTTCTGGGAAATAAATAACTATTTGTGTTGTACACAGAGTTTATCCTAAACCTTACAGTATAAAATACAGTACTAACAGTATAAAAAGTAAACATAAAATACCAAAATAAAACAATAAAATAAAGTCATTACAAAAATGTGATGTTGATATTCAGTAGTAAAGTTCAATTTACGCCCATTTCGACTTACAACCGGTTTCTCAGAACTGAACTCGGTCGAAAGTCGGATGGTAGGTGTACTAATTTTTTTAACACACTGGCCATCTCCCACAAAGGCAGGGTGCATATAATATAGAAATATATGTACAGTGGAACCTCGGCTTACGAATGCCTCACCGTGCAAATTTTTCAGGATACGAACAGTCCTTCAGTTGATTTTTTGTTTCTGGATACGAACAAAATTTCACGATGCCAACTTCCCCCTCAAGGGAGGTTCCTTAAATAAATAAATAAAATATTTATTTCTTGCGGGATTACCAAAACTGTTGTCCAGAGGGCTGAGGAAGGGTTGTTGAGGTGGTTCGGACATGTAGAGAGAATGGAGCGAAACAGAATGACTTAAAGAGTGTATCAGTCTGTAGTGGAAGGAAGGCGGGGTAGGGGTCGGCCTAGGAAGGGTTGGAGGGAGGGGGTAAAGGAGGTTTTGTGTGCGAGGGGCTTGGACTTCCAGCAGGCATGTGTGAGCGTGTTTGATAGGAGTGAATGGAGACAAATGGTTTTTAATACTTGACGTGCTGTTGGAGTGTGAGCAAAGTAACATTTATGAAGGGATTCAGGGAAACCGGCAGGCCGGACTTGAGTCCTGGAGATGGGAAGTACAGTGCCTGCACTCTGAAGGAGGGGTGTTAATGTTGCAGTTTAAAAACTGTAGTGTAAAGCACCCTTCTGGCAAGACAGTGATGGAGTGAATGATGGTGAAAGTTTTTCTTTTTCGGGCCACCCTGCCTTGGTGGGAATCGGCCGGTGTGATAATAAAAAAAAAAAAAAATAATAATAATTTATTTCTTTGCAAAGGTTACAATGTGTGTTTACATATCATAATATGATTGTAGCAAAGAAAGCCACTATCATGCCGAGGCATTTTGGGCAGACTTAACCTAATACTAATAGACTACTAAGTCTAGACAGGTGAAAAGTGTACTAGTAGTGGTTACCAATGTTTTGCTGATGGTGGCAGGAATTAATGGCAACCTTTTGAAGTTTCTCCTTACTATTATTATTATTATTATTATTACAGTGGACCCCCGCATAACGATTACCTCCGAATGTGACCAATTATGTAAGTGTATTTATGTAAGTGCGTTTGTACGTGTATGTTTGGGGGTCTGAAATGGACTAATCTACTTCACAATATTTCTTATGGGAACAAATTCGGTCAGTACTGGCACCTGAACATACTTCTGGAGTGAAAAAATATCGTTAACCGGGGGTCCACTGTATTATTATATTGTACAAGTCTCCCTCAACATTCACGTTTTCAACTTTCACGGGCTTCACACATTTGCGAATTACCAACAGCCAAATTCCCAGCTGCCAAATCATATTTAAGTTTCCTGCCACCTGCGAGTCCCTACTACCCTCCCTCCGACCCCCCCAACTGGCAGCCAGCCCTCCCACCAGTGTGGTGAATGTTTTGTTTGTTCATTATTTGCTATTAAACTACAGTATAAATAATGTAAACCCATTCATGATTGCATATTGGAATGACTATTCGGACAGGTATTGGACGGTGACATCATGTGTTGACTCTTGAACACAGCAAAAAATCAAACTTTTCTGCTATGCTAATAAAAAACAAATATAGTAAAAAAAATTTAAATAAAATAATAATTTTTATATTAATAAATACGATAGAATTGAAGAAGGAAATTGTACAAAAAAAAACGAAGGAGTGGTTGACACATCGTCAGTTTTGGGTTTGTTTTTGCTGGAGGATCATTAGTTCCTTTCTCTTCCAAACATTGCACAATAATTCATTTGGGTTTTTTGCTTGTAGATGAGTGCACTGGAGTGGTAGAGGCAGGGTTGGGAAGCGGTTGAGGTTGGGTGGGCATGGGGGAGGAGTGGGGGAGGCAGGGGGGAGGGATGGGTAAGCAATGGGGAGGCAGGGGGGGAGGGAGTGGGGGGTGGGAGGCGTGGGTGAGGCAGTGGGTGAGGCAGGGAGTTAGGGCATTGGGGGAGGGGTGGTATTTAACAACATACATGTTTTATAATAAAATAATAATACAGTTATTAGTAATATGTTTTTTATTATTTATAAAAAGTTATTAAATCCACGCCTCAACTGGCTCTCCTTGCCTCAACCGCTGCCCCTTTCCAGTGCCTCAACCGCTGCCTCACCCATACCTCAACCACGCCCCACCCCCTGCCTAACCACTGCCTCAGCCAACTGCCTCAGCCATGCCTCCCCACGCCTCACCCATGCCTCAAACCCCTGCCCCACCCATGCCCCACCCACGCCTCAACCAAATGCCTCTACATTGCCCCAACCACTGCCTCACCCACTGCCCTTTCCATTGCCTCAATGCTGAACTCAACACTGCCCCCACCCACTGGTCTCCTTGCCTCAACCACTGCCTCACTCACTGCCTCAACTGCTGCCTCACCCAATGCCTCAACCCCTTCCTCAACCACTGCCTCTACCACTCCAGTCGCACTCAATTTACAAGCACCAAACACAATGAATTATTGTGAAATGTTTGGAAAAGCAAGGAGACTAATGCTCACTCCAGCATAAACAAAGCCACACTGACGATGTGTCAACCACTCCTTCGTATTTTTGTACAATTTCCTTCTTCAATTCTATTGTATTTATTATAATTACAGTGGACCTCCGGTTAACGATATTTTTTCACTCCAGAAGTATGTTCAGGTGCCAGTACTGACTGAATTTGTTCCCATAAGGAATATTGTGAAGTAGATTAGTCCATTTCAGACCCCCAAACATACACGTACAAACGCACTTACATAAATACACTTACATAATTGGTCGCATTCGGAGGTGATCGTTATGCGGGGGTCCACTGTATTATTATTATTATTATTACTACTACTATTGCTATTATTAGCAGTAGCAGAAATGTTTGATTCTTGCTGTGTTCAAGAGTCAACACATGATGTCACCGTCCAATACCTGTCCAAATAGCCATTCCAATATGCAATCATGAATGGGTTTACATTATTTATACTGTAGTTTAATTGCAAATAATGAACAAACAAAACACTCACTACACTGGTGGGAGGGCTGGCTGCCAGTTGGGGGGGTCGGAGGGAGGGTAGTAGGAACTCGCAGTGGTCGAGGAAGTGGAGGCAGTGGTGGAGGTAGTGGTATTTAATAACATACATGTTATTAAACCATAACATGTATGTTTTTTTTTTTTATCACACTGGCCGATTCCCACCAAGGCAGGGTGGCCCAAAAAAGAAAAACTTTCACCATCATTCACTCCATCACTGTCTTGCCAGAAGGGTGCTTTACACTACAGTTTTTAAACTGCAACATTAACACCCCTCAATTTACAATGTTTTCATGTATTTTATGATTGTTCATGGTTCAACAAGTTAAGGAAGAAGTATTGTATTATATTTCCCTACAATATATTGGGGCACCAAACATTCGCGATTTTTCAACATTCGCGAGGCTCTTGATCCCCTAACCCACTACCTCAACCACTGCCTCACCCACTGTCTCACCCACTGCCTCACCCACTGCCTCACCCACTGCCTCACCCACTGCCTCTACCATTGCCTCAACCTCTGCCTCACCCACTACCTCAACCACTGCCTCACCCACTGTCTCAACCACTGCCTCAGCCACTGCCTCAACCACTGCCTCTACCATTGCCTCAACCACTGCCTCACCCACTGCCTCAACCACTGCCTCACCACTGCCTCACCACTGCCTTACCTTTCAACCACTGCCTCACCCACTGCCTCACTGCCTCACCCAATGCCTCAACCGCTTCCCCAACCACTGCCTCTACCACTCCAGTCGCACTCAATCTACAAGCACAAAACACAATGAATTATTGTGAAATGTTTGGAAAAGCAAGGAGACTAATGCTCACTCCAGCATAAACAAAGCCACACTGACGATGTGTCAACCACTCCTTCGTATTTTTGTACAATTTCCTTCTTCAATTCTATCGTATTTATTATAATTATTATATTATTATTATTATTACTACTACTATTGTTATTATTAGCAGTAGCAGAAATGTTCGATTCTTGCTGTGTTCAAGAGTCAACACATGATGTCACCGTCCAATACCTGTCCAAACAGCCATTCCAATATGCAATCATGAATGGGTTTACATTATTTATACTGCAGTTTAATTGCAAATAATGAACAAACAAAACACTCACTACACTGGTGGGAGGTCTGGCTGCCAGTTGGGGGGGTCGGAGGGAGGGTAGTAGGAACTTGCAGTGGTCGAGGAAGTGGAGGCAGTGGTGGAGGCAGTGGTATTTAATAACATACATGTTATTAAACCATAACATGTATGTATTTAGTACAATTTACGACGTTTTCATGTATTTTATGATTGTTCAT